AATATGAAGCGTAATAAACTATTAGTCGAGTATACAACAAGTATATAAGAAAAGATGAGATTGATATAAAATGAATCAAAAGCTAGCAAAACGCGTTGCGATTTCGCTTTTTGAGTCTTGTCAATTGCTTGTGGTTTTGAAGGTGTTAAAGTATAATTCTCCTACTATTTCATAACTATTTAGTCAAAAGTTCGAAGACTTGCAATAAATAGATGTGCATAATATAACATTGTCACGACTAAAGGGGCTATAGGAACTGAAGGCCCTAAAGAGACTATAGATTCATCTTGAGGGCATGGAAAAGTGGAACAGGATAAGTTTAATTTGTCGTCGACTCGCCGAGATATAATAAAAGTACACAACTACGAAAGAGATTTTTCAATTCATAGTTCATTATTTATTTGGATCATGTGGAATCGAGTCGGATGATTCAATACAAACGGATCTTTTAAGAATTAACTCATTTGTCTTGATGCTTGCAGATAGCAGGATTAGAAGGATGAGAAGAGAGTGTTGCATCTTGATAAGAATGATGATCTTGTTCACTATCATTCAGATTTTTAGGATGCTGATAGAAAAAGCCATCAATTGCTTCACGAGCATTACCGATTACTTTTCCAACTTTTTGTAGTGCTTTTCGTACTGGATTTCCAGACTTCTTAGTAACGATATTAACATCAGGCGGTGTCGATATGTTAGCAACCATTTCTCTGTTTCTATTACTATCTCTTTGAATTTGCTCGGCTAATTGTAATAGGATAAGTCTATGTGGATCATGGAATTGTGCGTCGATTTCAGCAGAAGTTTCATTGAATTGTTTGTCTTGAGCTTTGAGATATTCGTTGAATTCCATTTCTTCTTCCTTGGGTACGCATATAGGGTCAACCGTTTCTATTGATGATCTCTGGGGTTGAGAATGAGGATGTTGCAGCATTGGTTCCTGACATATACTAGATTTCTTTCTTTTGGAATGTTCTTCCTGTTGTGCCAGTATTTGATCTTGTCGTATTCTACTTAATGCTTTCAGTTGAGAAATTTCATCAATTATCAACTGAATGTCATGTTTCTTTTCATGATAAGTCGGTTCACATTTCTCTATTCCCTTGTGTAAAAGATCAGAAATAATTTTATCGGTCTCCTCCGATGTTGATTTCTTGATGAAGTAGATGTGATTTTTGTTTGCATGGGTAAGTTGATGAATCAAATCTGCTGTTCTCGTTTCGTAATCATCAATTTGGTTAGATGGAATTCCATTAATAACAATTAATAATGATTGCGGTGAAAATTCGTAAGCATCATTAATGCGTGTGAAAGCTAGTGAATCTTCGTCAGGAATTCTTCCATTCTTATGACCGAATACAAAGATAACTATAGCCAACGGACATGCTTTAAATGCATTCATTATTTCATTGCGATTTTCATCAACTAATTTCTGATCCGCTTCAAGTAAACCCGGAATATTAGCTACTAAATAAATACGGCTTTTAATCGACTTGGTCATTTCTTTCCACTCAGTATGACGAGTGACAGATTTGGCTGAGAATCTACTTTCGAACGCTTTATCGTCATCTAATATTCGATTGGCCAAAAAACTTTTCCCAGCTCCACTGTTTCCTAATAGAATAAGACCATATTTTGGTGCTGATGCCATGAGAAATTTTGTTTTATCTAGAATAGGATGAGGGTGAATTATATAGAAAAATATGGAAATTAAACGGTAAATGGTCATTTTCGTCTTTATTTTTCACTATTTCGGTTAAGCTGATTAATTATGAGACAAAAAATTAGAAATAGCACATTGAATAACTTCAACCAGAGTTTCTAGACGAGTTCGGTCTGTTGATCCAGGCGTGACGACATCATCAAAATTGGCATCAATTTCCGTGACGCAATTTCTCCATAGAAGATGAAGAAATTTAAACATGCGTGGATATTGAGCTAGATTGGGAAACATATCAAAAGCACAAAATCCATTGGCATAATAAGTATGACCTGATTCAAGCACAACATTGTAAACTGTCGTCGATGGATCAGTTGTAACACTAGTCAATTGATTGACTATGATCGATGATGTTCGGTTCTGATTGAAGAATTGAAGTTCGCTATTGATACACAAAGGACTGACCAAGCCTCGGAGTGATGGTTCTTCATTTTCACTCGCTTGTGGCTCCATAGCTACCATTGTTCTACATATACAGATAAAGGTATAGATAGTCATATGACGATATTTAATGCTGTTTAGTTCAATAATTTTATACATTCTACAGATGTTTTCGTCCGTTTGATTAAATAAATCAACTTACCCATCTGTTGTAAGAAACACGTGTTCCGAAGTAAAGAACGGTGGTAAATCATTAATACCGTATAAAAATCGATCTTTCAATTCTTCGACATCAAGAAACATCACTGTATAAGGTTGATTGCCAGCACCTAAAACCACATCCCCAGGTCGAATTTTTTCTATTGTTTTTTCGGTGCCATCAGCCATACATATGATAGTTCCAGTAATGAAACACTAAAAGAGAATATTTGTTTTTTCTTTCTTTCTTAAAATGAGCTCATGAATGAAGGCCTAATGGAGCTGACTGGTCAGAGTGTAAACTTACACTACTTTTCTTTTTCTGTTTCTCAAGTTCAGATTGTTTTTCTTCTTGAAGTTTCGTAATTTTTATTTCAAGATCTCGTTGTGCTTGTGCAGAATCTGCAAGAGCTTTTTGAATCAGCCAATCATCTCTGTTATTTCCACTTCTCATTTTTTCGTTGAGGTTTTCATGTTTTTCTTGCATCTTTTCCATCTGTTTTTGCATTATGCTTAACTGTGTTTCGTATTGTTTTTTAGTTTCTTCCATTTGTTTTGCTTGAGATAGCTGGATATCTTTGGCATCTTGCGCTTGTCGTTCAATAATGCGATGAAAATTGTCGTTCTCATTCTTTTGATTGGCAACGACTTGGTCGTATCGTCGCTGTTGTTCACGAATTTCTGTTTCAAAAAACCGACGATTTGCTTCGAATTCTTTCGTCATAGATCTGATTTGTTCCTTCAATATCACAACTTCATCGATCTTCAATTGAATATCATGAACTTTAACATGTTCAGTGGGTGTAAGTTCGACGATGGCATTTAACAATTGATTTTTTATTGATTGCCGTTCGTGTATTTTATCGGAATCGATATGATTAACAAAACACACTCGTTTCGGAAGTATCATGAATTGAGTAATATCTTGTAACATAAGCATTACTTCTCCTTCGTAGTTTGGCGGTCGATTAGCGGGAAGACCGTTGACTACTATTAAAAGCGATTCGATTTTCAGAGGATATGCTGCATTAATCGCATTGAAGGCAACTGCATCTTCATCACGAATTCGACCATTTTGTTGACCAAAGACGTATATGATTAATGAATTTGGTCGTTGTTGAAATGCACGATCAATTTCATGTTTATTTACGTCAACACGTGTCTGAGAAATATATAGAGATCAGAGTGAAACGAGTATAAACTCATAAAGAATTACTTGATCAGCTTCGATTAAACCGGGAATATTGAAAATAGCATAACGATAATTCTCGAATTTTATCTCTTGAAATTCGGTTCGATGTGTCACCGATCGAGCAGAAAATTCATGTTTGAATACATCTTTACCTAGTAAAATATTGGCCAAGAAACTTTTTCCGACACCACTATTACCAAGAATAATCAAACCATGTTGAGTTGATTTACCAGCAGCCATCATTCACCTAGAATTTAAAAACTCTACAATATCTTGTCAAATATTCGTTGCAATTAGTATCTATTCGACACTATCTAACTAGCGCTATTACTTACTAATGCATTAAGTACTGAAAAAAACAAAAAAAAGTGTGACATGTGAAAAACTCCTCAGATAACGATATGGAATTTTCCACACTTAGTAACAATGAATGAATAATAATAGTCGTAAAGATGCAACATTATAATATGACAACGACGAAAGGAAATAAAAACAGTCATATATTACATCTGGAGAAAGGTAATAATACGAAAGATAAGTTTCTCCCACGTCTCAACACACGCTCTTCGTGATAAATATGGCTCTTGACTATTCTCCTTTTATACTCTGCTGTGTCACTTTTTTTTTCTCTAATAGTAACAAACAAAAAATACTTTGATTATTAACTCGATCTTTACTCGTATTGCATTTTCAAAATGGAAAAAAAAATTCGTTTAGCTTGCCGGAGATCAAATTGTTCTTTTCGCTCATGCGTATATTTCTCAACTACTACGTGGTAGATTCATTAAGACATTAGTTTCATTGATCTTTGTATTGAGAACACAAACATTAATGCTTTCAACAGTCTTTATCGAAATAAGAGAGGTAACGGGGTGAGTGTGATGGTAAGTCACTTCTTATTACACTCACCCTCTCACATGTTATCTTCATTTTATCACAAAAAAGACATGGAATGTTTTGACTTTTTGTTCTCGAACAATTGCGAGCACATAAATTGTAATCTTACACAATTCTTTTACTCATCTTTGTGATATGATGATGAAATAACATTGTAATCATTTCGTTTAGATTAATCTGATAAGCAATGTTTTTAGGAAGAAGGCGAGAAAAATTCGGATTGATTATTCTGGGCAATAGTGGCGTTGGAAAAAGTTTTTTAGTTAATATTATTCTCGATAGACCATTGTTCAGACATCAATTCTCGGCTAGATCTGTTACAGATCGAACTGAGTCAACTAATTGCACGATCGGTGGTCAACAATGTCGAATTTACAACATCCCTGGCTTGATAGAAGGCAATACAGAACGTTTTGATTTAAATCGACGTGAAATTCAACGAGCATTTAACGAAGAAAAATACAATTCAATTATAATTATCTACGTCTTCGGACATCAGAATGGCCGAATTCGACATGAAGATATTATGAGTTTTCAAGCTATTCATCAAGCTTACGCATTCTCACTCGATTCATTGATTGTCATCGTTAACGGATTACCTCGTAAAAGATCGATTAACTACAATGAAGATACTCGAAAAACTCTGATCGATTTACTTGGTATGAAACTTCGGCATGTATGCTTTATTGATCAACTTGATGCCACCAATATCAAAAATTACGACATTCGTCAACATTTACTTGATGCTATTTCGAATGCTTATCCTCGAAAGCATATAAAAACGGATGATATACATGTAAAGAATGATGAAGTCGATCGACTCAAGACTGATCTTGGCAGACTTCATATTTGGATGACGAAGGAACAAGAGAAATACACAGATACCCTTGCACAGATGGAACAAGATTGTCAAGCAATGGAAAGTCTATCAGGTAAGAGTAAAATTTTGTATTACAACATACATTTTTGTCTATGCTATCATTCTAAATAGATTTACGTCGTTTATTTTGTCGATGCAAAATGGATCTTCATCAATTAGCAATTTATCAGAAACAAGCGAGACAAATACTATATTTTATTGAATATTGGGAAGACGAAGAGATTCGTCATAAAAATGAGCCACATTATCGCGGTTATCGATTAGTTACACGGAATAAAGACAAAGCTCTAGAAGACTTGAAAGTCAATCAAGATAGCCAAGATTCGGCTACAATATCTCTTAATAGATGCCGTCGAAATATCGAACAAATATGTTACGAACTTGAACAGATTTATGGCAGAAGATTAGGTTCTGATTACAAAGCTGTTCGAGAGTATTATGAACTCTGTGATGATTTGCAATTTGATGAATCGATTCAAAAGGTCCACCATAGTTTTATGTATGATTTGTATGATTTCAATTGCAGACATTTTCTTGATTTTTCATTGAAATAAAGGATGAGAACAGGTACCATAATCTATAGATTTCAATAAAATAGGAGATAAGATTTTTAAATTCAGAGCACCACACTATTAAGAAATTTTTAGATTGAAAGCATCACACGACTAGTTTCGTCCTCGCTTAAGGGACTCTACGGGCATATCTACAATCTATTAGTACATATATCCGTAACTCTCCAATTTTTGAAGTAGCCAAAGAAAAATTCATACTAATATCCAAATAACAATATTAAATCATTGTTAAGAAATGTTTAGAATGAAAGCATCACAGGACTAGTTTCGTCCTTGCTTAAGGGACTCATGAGGTTTGTTCAGAATTTCATAATTACATACAAGTCAGAACTCGCCCAAATTTTTGAGAAAGTTAAGGCTGAAACGTAATTAAATAAGAACCATATATTTAAGGTAATAATAAATATATAGTTATTTTTTTATAAAAGATTTTCCAGATTGAGAGCATCATACGACTAGTTTGAACTTTGCTGAAGTGTATATCATCAGGGATGCATTATATTTAAGAAAAACTACGACAATGCTTTCGACCTTTCTCAAGGGTCATTTCTCAGGTAGTTTTAGCACTGCACAATTTCATAAATTAAATTGAAAAGATACAAACACTTCCCAGATTTAATCTGTAAATTTGAAGCAAAACAGAGATTTCTTAAATATAATAAGTTGTGTATCATGTTTAAGAAGAACTACGACTGCAGTTTCATACTTTCTCCACAGAATTTCTCCATAGAACTCGTCAGGTAGTGTTTATCATTGTATAAATTTAAAATGAAACTAAAGACAAACTGACTATTATTGCCGAGTTGATAAATTGAATTCTCTTGTTATACATCACATGAAATGAAAAAGTTACCAAGAATAGAAATGAAAGGCGACTATTGGTTTAATTCTATGAATGAAAAGGGGAAACTACAGTAAGTACTGTCTTGTTTGGTTGAATGCAACTGAATTACGCTAAATTAGTCGAAGCTCAATGCCCAGAATATTTCATTATCATGGAAAGAGAAACGGCACGAAATACATTGTGGCTGTTTCTTTTTGAATATGTTAGGATCCAGAAAACAATATTTACTCTTTTCTAGATCTCAACTTTGATCTAGTATTTTGGTAAATGACCCAGCCAAGAGTCAGATTATGAAAAAAGAAACTATTCGGATCCTCTTCACAGTGTTGCAGTTGATTTTGCATATGTTAAAAATGTATGTTCAGAAATATTCACCGACAGTGATGATGAGGG